TCTTTTTTTCTTTTTTTCTTTCTTTTTTCTTTTTTTCTTTTTTTCTCTTTTTCTTTTCTTCTTTTTTTCTTTACCTGCCCCCACCTCGGCAGATATGACAGCTACGGTGAGGATGATGTGGATGTTGTCACAAGAGTATCAGAGCGCAAATGCGAACAAAAAGGAAAAAAGAAAGAAAAACAAGAAAAAATGAATTCAGTTTTGTTATCTTCTTCCTTAACTCCCCCTGTTCAGAACCTCTTGCGTACAAGGCCGCTACACTGTGAATCTATATGTTCAGGACCATATATATAGCGCCACGGAAAGCGAGAGAGAGAGAGAGAGGGACAGAGAGAGAGAGAGAGAGTCGTCGGTGTACATATGATTGCCCCCAACATAATCCCAATTCCGTGCGGGCCCTTCTTTTTCTGCAGATCTTCTGCTGATCCAGGCCGTTGGCTTGCTTCGATGTAATCAATCGGCATCAACCCAATCAATCAAGATCGATCGAATCAAGCGAGATCGACTCAAACAATCGACATCAACCCAGTCAATCGACGGCATCATCCCAATCAATCGACGGCATCAACCCAATCACTCAAGAACGACCGAATCAGACCGATCCAATCAATCAAACCCAATCAATCAAACCCAATCAATCGACATCAACCCAATCCATCAAGATCGATCCAAGCAATCTATAGATCGACCAAGTAAATCGATATCAAACCAATCGATACAATCGAATCGATCGGAATGGATACGATCCGTCGAGATCTATGCAATCAAATCTGAGACCCAATCAATCCAAATCAACCCAACGCAATCGGTCGACATTAACCCAATCAATCGAGATCGATCCGATTGAACTGGAGAGCAAAGCCCAATCAATCGAGATCGATCCAATTGAGTCCAGATGTCGATACAATCAATCAACACCAATCCAATCAATCTCGAGATCAACCCAATCAATCGACACCTACCCCTACCCATCCCACACACCGCTCTCCTCCCACGGCATCCCATTCCGATCGTATGTCATCCTTTGTCCTGATGACGTGGCATTGCACCTGCGAGGCATGTCGTCGTCGTCCTAATTGCGATGACATCAGCCACCGACCACCCTGTGCAATTCTATCACCGTCCTGTCTGGATTAAGATGAAGATGAAGATGGTGCTGCAACAACGATGTGAGGACACAAATGATGGAGGGAAGAAGAGGACAAAGGAGACGAAAAGGGAGAAGAGAGGGAGAAGAGAAAAAGGAGGGAGAAGAGGAGAAGGGAAGAAGAGCAAGAGAAGAAGAGTCAACCAGCCCACGTGGCTGAATGGTACACACATCTAATAAGTCTTAATAAACAGATCATGAGTTCGAATCCTGACACTCAGATGGATACAAATAAGGTTAAAAGCTAACCCCTTTTTTTTTCTTTTTTTCCTTTGTTTCGCTTTTTTTTTGGCCGAGGATAAAGGATGAGGAGGGAGGGAGGGAGGAAGGAGGGAGGGAGGTCTAGAAAACTGAGGTGCAGGGAGGAGGAAGTTTTAACGAAGAGGCCAGCAACAACAGCGCGCGAGTGAGGGAAAGGCTTCTTCGTTTATGAGGGTTCCCCACCCGCCCCTTATTTTGGCGAAGGTTGCAAGCCAATTGGCAGCAGCTACGGTAGCTAGCAACCTGCCTTTGTTTGTGGAGGGCGTCGACCTTCGCCTTAAGCAGTTTCTGTTCCCACCGCTGCTTCTTCTTCAATCGGCCGGCGGACAGAGCACGAGCAGATTCTTCGGCATCGCCACGAGCTCCGCCCCCTTCTCCCTCTCCTTCTCTTTCTCTTTCCTGACCGGCTATGTCGACTGTGCCATCACCATCCCCTTCAATTGCCATGCTGTCGGCATTGTCATTTTCACGAAATGACGCCTTCGCGCGGCGTTTCTTGTTCTTCGACTTCACCATTTGCACCCCCGATACGAGACAGAGCCCTACCTCTATCTACTCATACACTCACAGCTGGCTGGGCCTAAGCTTGTGGAGATGGCGGCCTGCAGACCCGAGCAGGCGGACCAGGCCCTTCCCTCCGCCGTCGTTTCTCGCAGCCGTCCGCGGAGCTGGAGTTTCAGCGGGATTTCAGCGGCCCTTTCTGCCAAAGGGCCTACCGGTAGTAGTTGCACCACTCGTCGGCCAAGATTTGGAATGCATCTTGATACCGCACCCCTCGAAATGCTATGAAAATGTTGGCGACGTTTTCTCTGCCAAAGGGCCTAGTTGCACCACTCGCCATCGCCCAAGATTTTGAATGCATCTTGAAAACGCACCCGTGCAAATGGTTAGAAAAAAATTTGGCGGATGGCGAGTGGAGCAATGAGGCCCAAAGGAGCTCCTCTTCTCCCAAATTCTTTCGTCCTCTCTCGAATTCTTGCAAATTCGCCTTCCACTACCACTACCTACCAGGCTACCACTACTCCTAAGGCTATACAGGGGACCCAGGCAAGCATAGATTTCTGGTTGTCACTATGGAACGATGGAAGGGGATGCATGTTGCCCCTTACCCAAGTGGTTTAGGGTGCAGGGTTGGGAGCCCGACTAACACAAAGACAAAGCATTTTGTTTTTCATTTGTTTTTTCAAAGAGAGGGATCATTCTTATTACCACAAGGCTGAAGCCGGGAATCTTCCACAAACAACCCGGAGAAACAAAATTGGGACCATTACCAAGCTTTGGTGCAGGCGAGGGGGTATGTCCAGCTGCAATATGCCCAATTCTAGATCGTTGCACTGACATTTCCCAACCCTGATACAAACAATTTGCCATCAAGGCCATAAAAAACGAACAAGCCCAACATACTCATAAGAAACAAAGGAAAACGGAAAAAAGAAAACAAGGAAAAAGAAGGACATACTTCATATTCCTAACTTCCCCAAAATGAAACTACCTAGTCTACTCAGTCCAACAGAATGCACAAAGAGCTATGAGCACTCATTCTACTCTATAACACTTACTTCTTGTACTGGTATTCTACCCCTTCGTTATTCAATTCGTCCTTTCGCTATTAACTATCCTATTCACCCATCCTCACCTTGGCCTAACTCTGCCATTGGGGAGAACGCATCTACATTTGGCGCTCCCTCCACCCCATGCCCACCTGCCAGTCTCGGGCAACTTATCCAACCGAGCAGTCTAGGTTGATCATATACCTACTGCTCAAACAACCATGGGGCTAATGATAGCTGCCCACCATCATTAACCGAAGGAGCTGTTAATAAACCAAGTTTCACGAAACCAGAGTTTGCCTCGGCCACGGTTCTGTGTTTTGACAACTTTCCTCCGCCAATCCGCCTGAATGGCTCGTCTCACACCTTGCAGAGTTGTGCTTCTTATCTTAGGATTAGACCACTGTTTCCCTTCAAATGCTTGGTCATTTCGGCCCTGCCAGATTGACGAGAAGAGAACCGCTCTTGTTGTTTGCGCATTGTAGCCCCATCTCTTAGTCAGAGACATGTTTTCCGGGATACCCCCTATCAAAGTCCACATCTTGTCCCACACCAGTGGTTGTCCTAGGAGGCCTAACCATACTTTAATCCACCATTTCCAAATCCGAGCCGAGGCTGGGCAATCCCACCACAAATGAAACGTCGACCCAAATGCCCATTCACATCTCAGGCATTTTAGATCAATTTTCATCTCCCAGGGTAGTTGCTTGGCGCTGACACGAAATGATCTTAAGTTGCTCCCAACAGTTTTGGAGAGCTTTGCTCGACACATTCGGGTCCGGCTCCATATGGGCTTGCCATTTGTTACAAACTGCCATCAGTGGGTCTTTTGACGAGATAACTACCTTATATCTAATTTTTTTTGTGTCATTCAATAACTGGATGTTTTCACCTCCCTTACCTAATGCCCTCTATTCCCACATCGTGGGATCCATCTTTAACTTTTCTATGGGGGTACACTTAAGCATTATCGTGCACAAACTATCGTCTTCTGACAGAACCGTTTCAGAAACACGAACCAGTGTAGTTCCCACTAACGGGTGTTCATTGTCGTCTGCATATTTCAGTGATCGGTCGGCTTGGATTTGCCATTTCTAAAAAAATATTTTCCCATTTGGTTGGTACTCCAATAGTTTCCAAACTCCGGTGCAGTCTCCGTTGACACTTGTGTACCAGGTGCCAGAGGGAGCTACCGCGGTTGGACCCAACTGTTCCTTCCAGTGTCGGGGAATAGTCGAGACTATTGATTCCAGTCTTGAGGTTACATTTCTTGATTGTCCCATGACTGGTCTCAGATCTAACTCTGTTCTCCAGGTACCCAAGATGAGATCTCAGATGTCGGTGATTCTTATAATCTCTTTTCCAGTCCACTTACGTCCAAAGTTTATTATAAAGCATAAATACTAACCCAACCGTTGTTTGAGAACCCGCACATCTGTCTAACGGATGGAGAGTGGATTAAAGTCGATAAAATAAGCTTTGGACGTAAGTGCATTGAAAAAGGGATCGTAAGAACCAGCAACATCTGGGATATAATCTTTGGGTACCTGGAGAACAAAGTTAGATCTGAGACTAGTCTTGGGACAATCAAGAAATGTGATCTAGAAACTGGAATCAATAGTCTCGACTATTTCTAGGCACTGGAAGGAAAGGTTGGGTTCATCCGCCGTGGATCCCCACGGCACCTGGTTCTACCCAAATATCCGGTCTAAGTTTCTTCCACATCACGATGATTGCTCGCCAAAAGAGAGATGTAATATGTCTCCTTTGGTATGAGTAGAGCATCAGGCATATCCACACATCCCTAGGTCTAAACAAGTTTCACTATGAGGCCAAAATATATTTGGTCATTACCACCCAATGTGGGTTTGGCTCCTCGATACAGTTTGATAAACCATCTCACCAACACAACATTATTTATGCTTTGCTTGATCCATGATTCCGAGCCCACCCTGAGATCATGGAAAACACAACATTTTTCACACCACTTTGGAGATGAAGGATTTTTCCTCCTTCACAAATGGTTTCCAAATAAATTTAGTAATCCGTCTTTTAGCTAGTGTGTATAATTGTTTTCCTAGTGCCCTTACGGTTCCTACAAACTAGAAAAGAGCAAGAAAGGTTTCGTTAATCACTAACGCTCAGCCAAAGAGTGACAAATGTGGTGTTTTTCCCCACATCACCATGCGGTGCATAACCTTTTGCATCAAGAGGTCACCCTAATCACCATCGCAGTTTAGCAACGAGACTTGGACATCCAGAAACCTTTCAGATTGATCTTCATCTATTCTTTTCATACGCCACTCACATTAAAGAGAGTACCTAGATGAAAGTAAGAACGTAAATTTGTGCCAATTCACTGACGCCTCAGACAACTCGCAATATGCACCAAGTTCGGTCTTCAAGGCACTTAGTGATTCCAATGTGTTTTCGGAGATTGCAAAGAGGTCGTCAACCAAAGCCTCGACCTTGCAGTTCATGAATCTTAGTTGCCGGTCTCTAATGCGATCATGTGCCATGATGATGTTCAATAATACCTCCATCAATACAGTGAATAGCAGGGGTGGCAGAGGGCAACCATGTCTGAGTGATCTGGTAAGTTCCAAAGGTTTAGACACTCGCCCATTTATCATGACAATAGTTGTAAACATAGTATACATCCCTGTTATCCATCTACGAAAGTTTGCCCCAAAATTCATTAACTTCAAGGTTGTAAGTACATACGACCAGCTTACCCGCTCGAATGCATTTTTCAAATCCGGTAGTAGGATTGCCATGTCTAGGGAGTCATTGTGAATGATTTATAGCGCTTCATTAATAGTAACTAAATGATCAAATGTTGATATGCCTGGTACGAAGGCCGCTTGATCATTCTGAAGCAGAGAAGAAAGATATTTCCCTAGTTTTTTTACCATAATTTTGGTGAGTATTTTATAGGAAACATTCAACACTGATATTGACCTCCAACTATGGATTTTTGTTTGAACAACACTGAGATAATACCATGTCTCACATTCTGAGTCAGGTTAGCTTCCCATCAAGGTCTCGTTGTAAATCTCGACAAGATGTTTTTTTTTTTCTTTTTAAATTTAAAGTCCTGGTTGTTGTAGAGGCTGAATTACAAACATATGAGAGTCACCTTCGACACTCGGCCATGTGGTAAAGCCCCCTTAATCCTATAGGGCTCCTTTCCAACCTACCTCTTTCGTAATTTCTCCCGGCGCACTCCTACTCCCACTATCCTATCTCAGTGTCTACCAATCAAGATTGTCACCCTCCAGCCTTGGGGGTGACTTGACCGAACCGTGGTTGTAGGTACCAGGGCTAAGCTGAGTCCTTCACATCCCATTCAGCTCTGGTCGAAGCATATTTGTGCGAACCTTGTCGCCCAGGTACTTCAGGTGCTAGGTACAAACGTTTCACTATAAGTCTCATAGGTGGACCTATTTTGCGTTCCTATCGTTGTGTACACAACTGTTATTACTGTTGTTTGTTGTTAGGTTGTTCACTGTGCACACTATTGCCATTACTATATGTTTGTTGATAGTGAATCGAACATAGGAGGCATGCAACCCAACCAATCCTGTGGAGAGCCCCACCGACACAAGAGCCCTACCAACACCAGCCATAGACTGTACTAAGTCTCACTCTCATCAACTGTTCCTCGTTCCATGGGTGGTCTGTAGGGTCCTCGTCCAAACAGACATCGACCGTGGATTGTACTAAGTCTCACTTTCATCAACCGTTCCCGTTCCACGGGCGAGTTGTCCTAAGGGGAACCCTCACCCTAACCCCTCCCGTGCCTAGTGGCTGACCCCCCCAGATCTCCAACTAGTAACAAGTCCCTCTACTTTAATCTTGCCCCAAGAAACCTACCAAAACCAACCACAGTTTGTGCTAAGTCTCACTCTCATCAACCGTTCCTGAGTCTATGGGCGGTGCGTAGGTCTCTTGGTCCTGCCTCCAACTAGGTAAGCGAGTTTTTGAGCACACGACCTCATCCATGCAATCTTCTATTGAACCTACTGAGCTACTGTGAAAACTGAACGATTTGTACACAATATCGGACTGGAAGGAAAATAAACAATCATCCTCAAGAATGCAAGCCTGCAAAGAACCACTAGAACCAAAAGCATTAGGCAAACATCCCATAACCCAAAACCAACATATAATAACCATGGACTTGCCCATGGGTGGTGCGCAAGCAATGTCTGTAATAACTTACCTGCATCAGCCCAGGGGAGTTTTGAACACCATGTCGTGTCCATACGCAAGGCTGCGAAGTTTT